CCTCGAGAGAATGAGACTGCATATGCTGTTTCAGATGAGCAGGTTTCCTGAAACTTGCGCCGCAATCGCCGCAAATATTCAGCTTCTCCTCCTCATGCCCTTCGTCCTCGTCTACCTTCTTCTCCCTCACTTTCTCCTGCAATTCAAGAAAACCACATAATTTTAAAAAAAAAAATAAAAAATAAAATAAAAATCAACGCCATATAAAAACAGGTGTTTCCACAGCTTGGAACTTGTAAAACCCTAAAAGAAAAAAACACCGTACCTCGTGCTCAGCTAGTATGTGACGAGCAATTAAGGCTTTCTTAGATCGGCATATTCCACAGTACTCGCAGTAATATCTTCTGATGTCTCTGAAAATCGGACCTCGTGCTACCTCCCCTTCGTCCGCCATTTTTTTCAGCTCTTCTTCTGCTTGAATGTTCACTTCCCGCATAAACCGAGCAAGATTCCAATCATGAACAGCTGCAATTGTGCGTATAAACTTAAAAGAATTACAGAAATGAATTATGAAAGAGAGATTCTGAATAGGGTTTTGATTGGGAGATGCAGCCGCGTGCAGAAAGTAAGAGAGTCGCTGGTGTTTGCTTTTATCTGTGATTAAACCCTAATTTTATGGTCTTGAAGTGGGCTTTTACTCATTCAAAGAATAGGCCCATGGGAGGTTTATGAATATTTGTGAGCCCAATTTCCATTAACATATGTTTCCTACATTATTCTATGAATTAATTATGAAAAAAGGACCACACACACACACACAAAAGANNNNAAAAAAAAAAAAAGGCTGAAATGAAGAACAAATCCCACAAGCTTACCTTGTTGAGCATGGGACTGAGAGAATTCGAATCCTTCCGAAAAGCGAACCGAAATCACTCCGAACCGACAAAAGAACCTTTAACCATTTGACTTTTTTCGAACTGAATAGAACCGAGAAAATAATTGGTATGGTTCAGGTGATTTCACAAATATCCGTACGAAGAACCAATTAATTGAAATGAAAAACCAAATTATAACATTGAATGTGTGCTATTAATATATTTTATGTCAACTTTGATTACATATAATTTGAAAGTTTTTAAAAGGCAAATAAAATATAGTAATAACAATTTAGAGAGCTCTATATTCGATCTCGACGTTCCCTTCTGCAGGAAAAAAGGTGTGCAAGTTTTGAATATGGACGCAATGGGAACTACACGATTGTTTGTTGAAGCGGAGAAGATAAGGTTAGTTTGATGTTACCATTTCTCTTCTGTTGTATAAATATAATTGAAAATAATGAACAAATGGATAACGTATATGTTGTGTACAAATTATTTTTTTACCGAGTACTGAATCAAAAGATTCGTTCCCCTGATCGATCTCTCGAGGAAAGCAGTTCGGAATTCAGCTTTGCTATCGATCACATACAAAAGGAAAATAAATCCTAAACACTTGAATCAAATAGGGGGTTTGAATAATAATCAACTAAGAAATAATAAAAAGCAATAATCTACCTAAGAAGATAAACGAAACAAAGATGGAGAAGCTAAGGGGGTGATTGGATATAAATTCAACTAGTAAAAAAACTAGTTTTTTTAACTATAGTTAAGTTTGAAAAAAGGTAGTATGGTTAGTTGTTAGTGGATATATTAAAATAATATTTAAATTAAAATAATTAAAGTTGATTTGATGTAAAAGTAGGAGAAATTAAAATTAGGAAAAAATTCACTTTTGGTACCCTAAGTTTACCTACTTTTCGGTTTTGATACCCGTGGTTTCAACTTAATCACTTGTAGTCATTGACGTATCTAAAATGCATCATTTTTTCCCAAATCGTCAGTTGACCGTGAGTCAACTGACGGTCACCTTCTCTAGCAGGTCGCCTTCTTTTGCAAGTGATACAAAATGGCGGGTTTCTCCATTACAGCACCACAAAGCTGCAGACAGTGAGGAAAAAAAAAAGACTTTGATTTGCAATGAGCAGTTCAAGAGGAAGCTCGAGCTGGAACTCCGAGAATGGTGCTCCAATGGAGATGACCTGCAAGTGTGGAGATAAAGTATACTTGAAGATCTCTTGGACCCGAAATAATCCGGAAAGAAGATATTGGGCATGCCCTAAATATGGGGTAATTATTTTGTTTTTGTTTGTGTTTTCATTTTGTTTTTAAGATATGCCCTAAGTGTGATTTTTTCGAATGCCCTAAGAGTGATTTTTTCAAATGCCCTAAATATGCCCTAAATTTCATTTTTGCAGCAAAAGTTCGGTTTTTGTGGGTTTTTTATATGGTATGATCTGGAAATTTGCGCAAGAGCAAAGAATATTATATCCGGTTTGCTGGAAAAATTAAATAGACATCAATATCAAAATGAGCAATACAAGTTGAGGAATGCTGAAATGGAAGCTCAACTCTTGGTGGCAATGAAAAAAGTGGATGACATGAAGAATGCATTAGTTGAATTTGAGCAATACAAGTTGAAGAATGCTAAATTGAAAACTCAACTCTTGGTGGCAATGAACAATGTGAATGACATGAATAATGCATTGGTTGTGTGCAAGAATAAGATAAAAAAAATTATGGGCTGCTACTATTCTTCTCTCATTGTTATACATTGTCAAATTATGTTCTAACTAGATTTAGATAGTTATGGTTGGTGTAATTTGAAGTATTGTTATTATGTAATGCTTTATTTATGCAATTCCTGTACCATTTTCAGTATGAATATTGTTATGCAATTCATGTACCATTTTCAGCATTTGGTTTTCAATGAGTATTGTTATGTATTTGCAATATGAAGAAGACTCCTAAACCACAACAAAACCTGAACAAAAACTTAACAAAGGTTCACTTTGTTACCAAACACTCAACAAAACCTGAACAAAGAGTCATTGTAATATTCATGTGCTATTAAGGACAGACAAAGGATATCCAAAATTGAACAAACCTAAAACACATCCAAACCAAAGCTTCACACCAAAAAAACATCACTACAGAACAAAGGTTCTATTCCAGTGCACAACAACAATCAAACATGTCCATAACACTCACACAACAAATCAATGCATTCTCCATCTCCAGCATACCCTCAAATGGATTTCTGTCCCTCATTTTGCTTTGAAGTCCCCTGAGCATCAGCAGCAGCTCTTAAATTTGAAAGGATAATGTAGTTGACACCTCCCTTCACAATGACTGGTCCAGTTCCAGAAGATGATTGCATCATCTAAAAGTAGAAAAATTGTGAAATATTATATATATATATATATATGAGAAAAAACAACATGCACAAAAGATTAAAAAAACATACATTAATTGAAGACACTTTGTTTGTGTCTCCACTTAAGTTTACACCACCAAGTGTGGCAGACTCTCTCCTCCTCTTAACCTGTCATTCCAACATAATAAAAGTTACATGTAATTGAAGAGTGATATTGAATAATAAAAGTTACAACTAATCAAATCAAATCATACTTTCATCAAATTATAATTACATGTAGCTTTGATCTTTTCTGAGACTGAGAGTGATGCTTAGACTGAGACTGAGCTTGAGACTGAGCTTGAGACTGAGATTGAGATTGTGACTGAGACTGAGTGCCACCCATGCTTCTGGCCACTGGAGTTCTACTTTCAGACTGTTGATTTTTGCAAGTTCTAGAGTTGTGGCCTTGTTTACCACACTTTCCACATTTCACTGAATTTTGAACCTTTTTAAGCTTGGTTTCAGAGGATGGAGCAGGAGGCTCATCAGGTTGCCTCCTCCTCAATTTTTTGGGCCTACCAGGCCTATTTTCATATATTGGTGGCAAAGGAGCTGGTAAATCACATCTAGGCCACAATTCAGAACATGAAATCCCCATGATGGCATTTTCATATGCACTTCTGTATGTGTTTTGACTATACAAGTCATCAACATAGCACTCAGGATCTTCATGTCTACACCAAATGGCAGCACATGCATGCTTACAAGGGATTCCTGTCAAATCCTATTTTCTACAGCTACAACTCAGTCCAGCAACATCAACTGTGTGTTGATCATAAGGGCCTATGATTTCAAAGTGTCAATCATCACTTTTCATGGGAATACACTCTGCACCATCTTTCATATTTTTTTGAAGTATCTTTTTAATTCTAGGGCAGATCCTCCCAGACTAGTTTTTAGCTGCATCTCTGTTCACTTGTAGTCTAGCCATCAACAAGTGCCTTATTGTCTCAAGCATCACAATGACTGGTTTGTCCCTTGTATTCAAGATGAAAGAATTGAAACACTCACACATATTGTTCAGTAAAATATCACACTTCAGTGAAGTTTTGAAGTGAGACCGAGACCATTGATGAGGAGGTTTATTTACCAGCCACTCATAAGCCTTTGGATCCAACTCTTTCAATTCATCCATCTTTGCACTAAAAACTTCCACCCTAGTTGCTCTGGCTGCAGCCCACAAAGCATTTTTTATTGACTGACCAACAAACCCATCTCTTTTCATGTTGTTGTGTAAACGCCTAACACAAAATCTGTTTTCAGCATTGGGGAACAAATCTTCAAAGGCAGGGATAAGCCATTTCTGTTTATCACTCATGAAAGTCTATTCAAGTTCATTATCAATCCCTAAATCATTCTGTAACAACCTCAAAAACCACATCCAAGAATCTTTATTCTCATTTTCAACTATTGCATAAGCAACAGGAAAAATCTGGTTATTTGGGTCAATTCCCACTACTGTTAAAAGCTGACCACCTTGGGGGCCTTTCAAGAAGCACCCATCAACACCAATGATTTTTCTGCAGTACCTAAAACCCTTATTGCAGGCATCAAAACAAATATACAGTCTCTGGAACACAGGTTGCCTTGATTGTTCTTCACAATTGCTCAGTTTTAAGACAATAGTTGAACCATCATTGGACTTTAACAACTCTAAACAGTAGCTTCTGATTGTACTAAATTGTTCTTTTAATGTTCCATCTAGAAGCATCATTGCTTTCTTCTTGGCCCTGTAGGCTTGTTGCTTAGAAATATTGACTTCAGCTTGGTACACAACATACCCCTAAACTCATTGACTCCTAACTTAGGGTACTTCTTAAACTTTTTCATGAAATTCTTCTCTATCCACCCAAATTTGATGCTAGGATTATTGTAGTTCCAAGAACAACCTTTGTGGTTTTTCTCATAACACTTCACCTGCCAAGATGAGTCATTTTGCATTGGTGAAACAAAAATATACCACCCACACCCCTATGTGGTACACCTAGCTCTCAATCTTCTTTTGTCATTCCTATCAAAACGAACCACCATCCCTCTTCTATAGCAGAAACCCTGAATAACATCCTTAGTCTCTGATTTTGTACTAAAAATCATCCCTAACTTCAACTCAGGGTTTTTATCAGTTTTAGGATTATATAGGGAATTTCACAATATTATCCTCCTCATCAGACCCTCTAACACTTTTAAATGAATCACTATCCC